ATCAGATAGGTGATACTAAGAATTTGATTTATTGCACTATTATTAATACTTACAGTTATCTTTTGAGGCTTTCCAACGTCCATCTTCATACATTAGACAAAACCTGCAAGCTGAACGACAAACATCCCAAACCTCCTGTTTTCTTGCTAATTTTGCTAAAGCAGCCCATATCTTCACCCTAAAATAATGATATTTAGTTTAAGGTTCTAAAGAAGTTACATTTGTAATTTTCAAATTTAAAATTTTTTAATTTTAAACAACTGGCCAAACAGTTAAGAAATGTTACTTTTGGTAAGTTTTTCTGAGTTTACTTTATTTAATAATGGAATGTTTATACAATGTGGAATTTCATTAGAAGAAAAAAATATTGATAAATCAGCCCCCAATAACTCACTACTGTATCTAAATACGGAGCAATCCTTTCTTTAATACTTGATGATGAATTAGAACTGATTAGGTGGTATCAAAAACTTAATGCATTATGAACTATAGATTAACACAAATAAATACTAAAAAATACTGAAAGTTTTTATGATCATTACAATACAACTGTAAATTACTTCTTAACAAAATGAAACTAAATATCAATGCATACTTGCATTGGTCAGTGGATACATGCTGTAAAAGAGTCCTTAATCTTATTCACAATGTTCCTGTAGTAGTGTATAACAGGAACTTACATAGTTGAGAAAATATAAAAACCTTAAACCTTTGTTTAAAAAAAGCTTGAATCCAATACATAAATTAAACTAGAAACACAAACCTTTCTTTGTCATTTTTATTTCCAAGTCTTTTTAAGTGTCCGTCTGCCTTCTTTATACAACACATATGATGCTGAGCTTTAGCACACAGTTGGCTTATTGGACAATTTCTGTTGCTAGTTTTTGGAACTGCAGACAAAAAGAATGACAAAAACATTTAAAAAGTTAACTTACCAGTATATTGCATTGTAGGATATTTGAAGTGAGGGAAAATATCTGAACAAACTGAAATTTCCTTAACTTCGATTAGCCAGTTACAAATGAATGGAAAAACCAGTCAAGTTAATTGGTAAGGCAGACCAAACCTCAAAAGTCAACACCCACAGCAGAAAGGAGGACCAAAGACAGAAGCACTTCATCAAGAATGACAATAGTTCAACAGTGCTCTTCTTTTTGTTATTGTATGATCCAGAGTTGTAACTAAGATTTTATAGATTTGGAAGCAGATTTCAACAGGCTGTGTCATGTGTTAGGGTGTCTTGTTTCATCACAACAATTTCCCTTCTAACACTAACAGCTGTCTTCCATTATGCATTTCAGCTTCCAAGATAAGGCTATGTGACAGGACACAGAGTATGTTTTACAAAATACTGTACAAACAATAGTTAAAGATAACATTTACTGAGCTCTTTCACTTTTTGCCATTACCAGAATTACCTTTGGTTTCGTTGTCTCCATCAAGAACAACCTGAAATGCATCAGGAGCCAGAGCTATACCCGAATTTACCAAAAGTGGGCGTTTCTTCCTCACATCATCATTTGGGTTTCCCTTCTTTGCCTAGAAATTGGAAAGAATAATAGTAGTAGAAGCCTACTATATAGTGATTTTAAGGATTTTGTTGTTTTTTTTTACTTTTGAAACTGCTTGTTTCCAAAGACCTGTGCAGTCAAGCACTACACTTCATACTACACATATATCCTGGGACAGATAAGCCACTCAATGTGTGATGTGCTACCCAAGATAACATTTGGACCAACATAGCTATAATTCTTTTTAAAATTGTATTCTCATAGACATTCATCCCTACTAAATTAAAGGTTTCATCAACAACCAAATAAATTCAAAATTAGTACCTGGAACTTTCTTACCATAATTTATGCAAGACAGCATCAGCCATGTTGAGAAATAAGGCCAGTCGTATAAACCAGTTCTTGCACAAAAAATGTTTATTGTATTAAAGCCAATTTTTCTAAGTATAAGTCTAAAATAAACTGAATAAACATACAGTACATTAAAAGGTCTTCCTACATAAAACATGACCACATTTCTTTTCTCCTTCACTGCCAATACACAGCACATAACACCAACTCCTGCTGTCTAAAAACACATGGTCTGTTAATTGCATATGTGGTACTAATTCTGCTGTGCATGCCATAACATGACACTCTATCACTCTAGCATGTAGTAAGGTTAATGCATGACTGCCATCTTGTTCTTGCAAATAAAATGGCCTCTGTCTTTGGAAATGCTCAATACTGACTGAGTCAAAACATCAAATTTAACAACCAAAATTACTTCTGATTAGCAGGTCCAGGTCAATTTATGAGCAAACATACAGTACAGTGGTGACCAGACAGTAAATTTACTAGCTTAACGGAACCACAAAATGCTCTTGAACAAAAATTGCTTTTAATAAATAAATAAATTACAAATTTAGTAGGTACCATACTAGTAACAATACAATTCATCAGTTCATGTCAAAGTAAGAAATGTCCAGATATTTGTCCTGACTGTCATTTCTTTCCTGAAAATTCAAATATGCAGAAGACTTGCAAGTTGCACCAATACTTCTGGTGCACAAACCTGGTAATCGTGGCCTTGGCAAAATTCAGCCTGTAACAAACAGGTCTTGTACATAAAGAGAGCAAACTTCAAACTCAGCAGGTAACATTGTATTGGCAAGAAAATTATAGTATAGCGAAACAGATGATCACTTGGTTTGCGTACAAATAGAAACCCAGACTGCCGTTTCATTCTTACTGTATATTACTATTATTGTTCAACCCTTGTTACGTCCATATTGCTTTTATTTTAGTTGTGACACATGGACTTAGAAAGACTTCAAAACTGTATTCAGATGTTCCAGTTTCATTTAAAATGTGCTAGAATTTAATTACAAATAAATCAGCATTATAGGCCAATAAAACAGATTTATTCATATATTTGGTAAAATAATATAACAATCTACAGGATATTTGGTATTTTATTTGAATTAGAAATAATATATTTTTAATCCTTCAATTATTAAATAATGTTAATCACAAAGAACAGGGAATTTAAACAGGGCAAGAGATGAAAAATATTAATGTGATTACAGATTTTAAGCAGGTTTGGGACATTTCTGAGAAAATAAATATCCTCTTCACAACCCCATCAGATAAATATTTTATACCTATACCTTTAGGTGCCTGTAACAAACCTGCTCTATGAACAGTGCTGCCTGGTCTTCATTTCTTTCAGGAGTCTCATACAACATCTTACGCAACTGAAGCGGGTGAAGTGCTGAGTGAAGACGATCATGATATATTCCTTTTTCATCCAAACGTAACGCTTTCTGAATATGCTCTACAGCAGTCTCTATTCGATCTTCACCTTCTTCTATGAGACTTAACTCTGTATGGACTTGACATCGCAACTGAAACAAAAGGCTAAAAAAAGACACTTAGGAAGTTTCTTTCTATTAAATAGGACAATAAAACATTTCTATTATTACAGGTGGGTAGCTGCGTCAGCATGCGTAGGCTGCAAAGGAACAAGTAATAGGTTTATTCCATGCTGAAAAAAAGAAAGAGAACACAACGTTTCGGCCATGGAGCCTTCTTCAGGTGTGAGAGAGACAGGGCAGTAGGTCAAGGTAAAGTAGCGGGAGAACAAAG